CAATCTCATGTTTAGTTTACGCATTTGTATTGAGATTGTAGTCCATCACAGGAGCGAGCTTGGAGCGATGACTACTTTACAAACACACACAGGGTGCACGTTGAAGGGCTGTACACAGTACAAAAGCAAACATTTCCCAGTAGCCTCACCAGCCAGCCTGCAAAAAATACACTGTCTAACTATTAGAGTTGCCACCTTTTCTTCAAGGGAAACCCAAACACTCTAGTGACAGACGGATATTTTTTTGGGAGAATGAGTGGTGGTTTATTCATTTTTAAAGAGCGCCACCCATTCATATGTAAATATCACAGTTGAGAATATTTTCAGATATTATGGTTTAAAACAGAGGTTTTCGTTGTGCAACTTTTGCAAAATATGTGGAAGCCGCACTGCTTCAAGGGCCCTCTGTGTAGTGTGGTCCTAACTCTAAGCTATGAGAGCCTCCATCGTGGAGCAAAAACTGTATATAGCAAATTTGGGTTGGGATTTGGGTGCAGGTTGACAGAAGGTGGCCCAGGAATGTTTCTTAATGACAATCAAGATAATTGCAGGATTTTTATTCTTTGCATACCTTTTTTTTTTCTTTTCCTCCCCATTCTTCTCACAGTGGCCATTTTAACTAAGGGCAGGCTACTAGATCTGCCTTTACTTCCGGGAACTCTGGCACATGTGACTAGGACATGTGACCATGCACATCATCTGAGGGGAGGAAAATGCCTTTCCCTGAGATCTCGTGAGATTACAGATGAGATTTCCCAGCAATGCTCTGCGGATGTAACCTTCCCAGGATGAAACACTTGAGCACGATTACATCGTTTTTGCCAAAGAGGACCAGGAAGTAAAAACAAGAAATTGTAAGTAAAATACAAATATGTTTCTTAGCTAATGAATGTAAGATGATTTCATATCAGCATGCAGAGCTGTATGCTGATGTGACTTTTAGTCAAAGAGGGTGAAGGTCCACTTTAAGAACGTCTCTTAAAGGAAAACTATGAGATGAGTGCTTTTAACTCACCTCATAGTTCTAGCCGACCTGTGACAATGAGACTGTCACAGGTCTGCTCAGTAGATCGGGAAGTGAGCGAACACATACCGGCGTTCGCTCACCTCTCGATCCTGTCACAGCACTCGTCGTGACAGGGGAGGGGCTGGATTCCCCCCTCCCCGCTCCGCCAGCGCTGACTGGCGGAACAGACGGGGAGGGGGCGGGTACAGCTGGCTCTGCCTCTAGATAGGCACAGCCAGCTGTCAGTCACGCAGCTGGGTGGATCCCGGCATAATTGTCAGGATCCGCGTCTCAGCTCGCAGTATACTGAGCTTAGGGTGACGGGAGGACGCTAGTTTGTGTCCTCCTGTTACCCTAAGTAAAACTATGGGGAAAAGCCTTAACCCCATAGTTCTCCTTTAAGCCAGGTATACATAATAAGATACAATGCCGCCCCAACACCCTCACACATGCATGACATGCCTGGGACAGAGATCAGATCATTTTCTGGAGCTGCAGACAGAACAAAGTGAAAATGACCGTTTAAGTTTCTCTTTCAAGCTGAAACACATTAAAGTAAAACTTTGTAAACGGCCAGATTGATAAAACCATCAACATCAGTTTACTGCAAATCTCTCCCTGGCGCCCTCGGCTTCATTATATTTATCTCCGAGACAAAACCCATGCAGCAGATTTTATTTGGATGTTAGATGAAGATTGCGCAGGTTTAAGCAGCAGGAAAGGTTATTGACAAACTAGTTTATGTAGAAAGTGGATCTGATCTCCCATCTGATACTGCAAGCCTGTGCAGGGTGAGGCAGTTTATTTGCCATCTGTAATTCTTAAGAATTTAAAGAACCACCAACTCTTCCTTCTTATATGATACCATGTGACAGATAGGTTGGCCATACAAAGCGCAGTCCTACCCTGACAGCCTAATACAGTGCTCGGACAAGGTCAGCACATTTAGAAGTACCCCACCTAGGAGGTGGTAATGTGCCTTTCCATCATCAAAAGAACTCCCGACATAGATTATCCAATGTGTCCATCAAGCTGGTCGCATGAGAAAGCCAGAAATACACATGCAAGTTCCTTAGAAAGCCTCATCGGTCACATACTTCTCCGATGAAGCTACTGAGATGAGCCATTGACTGCTTAGTAGGAGGGTCTGCCTCTCATAATCAGGCAACCAGTCCTGGTGATATAAGAGACAGCCTGGTCCAGGATCCACCTTTATTTTTGATTGGACAGAAAAAAAAAAAAACAAGAGCAACAAACTTCCCTTCCGTAAGAATTGCAGACCCATTTGCCCTGCGAAACTCCATGAACATTCATTCTGTGTGAATGGAGGCCACAATGAACGTTAGAATATTTTCTTTCCAAGTCAAATATGGCATCAGTAAAATACAATATGGCCACTAGATGGAGGCGGAGAGCATAGGAAATAATTGCTCATCAGCTTCACCTAGTGGCCATAATGAGGTGTTATCTGTCATTTGACCTGGCCAGTATACGGCCTCACCGTCATCTCGTTCCAGTCCAGCCGAAAATTATGTAAACAGCAGAAAGTGGGCAGGATTAATAACCAATAGCAGACTTTTGCTCCCATCAATCAGCAGAGAAGACCTGAAGGAGAACTCGGTTCTCTATTAGGCTTCGCCCACTGCCAGCGTCACTGGGCTAGCATAGTAAAGTCCAGTGACGCTGGCAATGGGTGGAGCCTGTTAGAGAACAAAGTTCTCTCTCTAGTCTGGTCTTCTGGTGATTGACAGGAGGCGGGCGCAATAGTCAGGAGGCGGCAAAGCAGAGAAAGCTCCTGCTGCGGGAAGGCAGGAGAGGCACCGTATTATCGGCATTAATCATTTTTTTTTTTACGATTACCATTTTGCCGATTGTACCATTTTCGGCTGCGAATAATCCAGTGCATCCCTACTAAGAACTTTTGTTTTTCACACAGAAGGAACATTCACAGAGGTGTATATGAATGGCTCTGTGAATTGTTTAGAAATAGATCCTCAATCATTTTCTGTCAGCTGGTTATAGATTTGTTTTAGTGTGTGGAAATGTTGGAAGGACCATGCATGTGTAGTCAATGATATATGTACATGGCAGCAGTCATGTTCACTCATTAAATCTGCAGATTCTTCATCCTTCTTTGCAGAGATACGCAATTCTGCTTTACAATCTCTTCTCAGCCACAGCCTGTCCTGAGTAGAAAAGCCTGTCCCCTGCCACCATACTGCAGGTTAGGACCCTTGCTGTCTGGGAGCATTGATCTAATTATGGTGGTCTGATATACCCCCTACTAAGTCAGACCTAGAGCTCTGCAATCAGTAAAGCTAATGCTCCCCTCTGATTGGAGAGTTCTGGCTCTGATTCAACAGCAGTTGTGTCAGACCTCTGCAAAGAGTTCAGTTCTTTCCCACAGAAAGCAACGGTCCTTCTCTGCGGCATCCTGGCAGGGCACAGGCAAGTCTAAAGGTTTGCCAGGACACTGAATACAATACAGTTCTTGCACAGGTAATGTTAACGCAACAGTTTCAAAAAAGAAAAGCAAAGCAATTGTAAAAATTTATGTTTGCTCCCTTAATTTATTAATCCCTATATTAAAAAAGGGACACTAAACTCGGGAATTAAATCGTACAAATACATTCAAGTACCCCAACTATTAACAGAAATGTATCTTATTTGTGTATCGCTGGGCTGTAGATCCTCAAATCATCTCTGAATTGGTGCTGACACTGTCCTTCCTTCTGGAGGGGGGGCTACTTTTCTTCCCCATGGTCCCTGTGTGTGTTGTAAAGTAGACACTGCTGGAGAAGGAAGGACAGTGTCGGCACCAATTCAGAGATGATTTGAGGATCTGAGGAAAAATTATAAAAGAAATGTCTAGTTACTTGGGAGGAACAATTCCAGGAAAAGTCGGCAGGGATACCATAATGCAGCACTGTTCTTAAACAAGTGATATACAAATAAGATACATTTATGTTAATAGTTAAGGTACTTGAATGCACTTTTAAGATTTAACTCCTGAGTTTAGTGTCCCTTTTAAGAGCCAGTGGAACGCTATAAATCTCAAAAGCAACAGTGCCACCTCGTGCCAAATACTGAGCAGGGTTAGCCAAGCAGGGCGCTCAATTCCAGCTACTTCCAGATTCATATGACCGATAAATGCAGCAAACAAATGCATCATTGAGCGGCACAATTCATGATTTGGTAATCACTTTCCTTGCTTTAATGTATAAAAAAAAAAAAATATACAAGCCCTTAGACCCCCCCCCCCTCCCGTTCACATTACATCTTCATTTACTCCATACATAAAAAAAGGAGAGTAATACGGGTCAGTCTCTTTAAACAGGTTTATTACAACAGATACAATTCACATGTGACTAGCTTGTTGTCTTCTGTTCCCCCACACAACCATTTGAAGTATATTTTAACGCTGGGCAAAAACGGACTTTATTTTTTTGTATTTCTTAATTCTTTGTAAATTCATGGCTGAGCAAGAAATGTGCCTGCGAGCACACGTGGTGCGTGCGAATCGGCGGTCATCACAGGTGGAGGTACTTCAATAATTTATACAAACGAAGTGGGTTCTTAACCAATCACTGCAATGTTAAGCTACTGTACAGAGGAATGAAAAAATATATAGAAAAAAAGTGCCATAGCAACAGTGCCATAAGAGGGGAGAAAAGAAAAATTTAGATGCATGGGAAAAATTAAAAAAGACATATGTCTAGTTACTTGGGAGGAACAATTCCAGGAAAAGTCAGCAGGGATACCATAATGCAGCACTGTTCTTAAACAAGGCTGAGGATGAGACGATGAAATCTAGCACAAATGTTTTGTACACTGCCCAAACTGGTTGAGGATATTTTAGACACAGATACTTGGTGCTGGTATCTAATTTCTGGAAACAAAGCAAGATTTTTTTGAATGATAAATTAAAACAGAAAAAAAAAAAAAAGAACAGCTAATTTTGCTGACAAGCTTACATGAAAAAGGCGAGGTTTTTACCACCTCAGCATTGATTAGTTTTGGATGTCAAAGCTCTGATACAACATGGGCGTCCCATGGCTTCAATCTACAAAACATATTTACAACGTGAAGGATACATCTACAAGTATAATCTACATTTCGAGGGTTTTACAAATCCTTGTATTTGTCCCCCTTGACTCCCCCTCCAGGCTCGCTTCTCTCCCCTGAATTGTCCACAAGCCCGACCCAACGGTCCAAAGTCTACTCTTATGCAGCTCAAAAAAAAAAAAAAAAGGGTCAAGGTCGGGCTCCCTCTGCTTTACTGTCCAAAGTCCACGTGCAAGACAAAAATAATCTTCACACCATGAAGGAATTCTGGTTTTTAAGTTTTTCAAGTTCTTTAATTTGTTGTCTCAAAAACAGTATCCTGGAAGAGAAAAGACAACAGCTGAGGTAAATGTGAACGCTTTAGAAGCACAAAAGCAAATGTCAGCCAATGCAATTCTAAGGGAAGGTATAAAGACTTTGGGACGCACATCGGGACTTTTTCAACTTTCCGGATCTGCATACTTTTTCAGATTTGGTTTAAAGTATTAAAGCCCAACTGAACAATCGGTTTACATGGCTAGATATATTAATGGTGCATCAAAATAGGCCACAGCCAGAGCGGAAAAGCCTGTGCCCTGCCAGGATGCCGCATAGAAGGGCCGCTGCTTTCTGTGGGAAAGAACTGAACTCTTTGCAGAGGTCTGGCACATCCCCCCTATGGAATCGGAGCAGACAGAAAGGGTCCCATCCTGCAGTATGGTGGCAGGGGACAGGCTTTTCTACACAGGCTGTGGTTGCTAATAAAAAAGAATCATTAAGACATTGAACATCTTTTGTTTAGCGTCACCTGGAATGTATTCAGCATATGTAAACTGAAGGTTCAGTGGGGCTTTAAAGTTAGCGGGTATGATGGCAATAGCACTATCAAAAGAAGGTCAGCAATGGCAGCCTTTATATTTTATTTCTCACACAGTTATGGTAAAAAGAGAACAGATGCACAATTGTAGCAACTGCATTCTGTGCTGGATACACAAGTCAAAAAGCAACAGTAAGGCCTTGTTCACACCAAATGCAGACCAGATCCGGTCAGGTTTCTGCACACGCGGTGTAGTGGGTTGTGCCGCGTTTTAGACGCGTTTTGGATGCGTTTAGGGCCGGTTTTGGTAAAAAAAAAAAAAATATATTTTTTTTAAGTTTAACATGGACTTTCAGGCACTTGCATGCGTTTTTGATGCGTTCCAGACCAGATCCAGAGCAGGTAAAATAGGGCTTGCCGCATTTTTTTCATCCGGTCTGGATCTGGTCTGGATCCGCACGCTGCGATGTGAACTGGAGCTCAAAATACCATAGGAAAACATTGGACGCAGTTTTGATCCGGTCTGCACCTGCTCTGGTCCGGATCTGCTCCACGCTTGGTGTGAACAAGGCCTAAAGCTGGCCATACACCTATAGATTATCTGCAGATGTTCTATGGTCAGATGGAAAAAGTGCAACAGGTTCCCCATCTACGCCAAACTGTGTGGATGGAGGAATCTCCAGCTGGGCCAAGCTTCAGTATCTTGCTAGTCGGCCCCACTGGCTGTCAAAACACCAGAACAATGCCTGCATCCAATCAGATTGTTCAGGTATTTTGACAGTGATACTGAAGCTTGGCCTAGCGGGAGATTCCTCCATCCACATAGTTTAGCATAGATTGCACTTTTTCCATCTGACCATAGAAAATCTGCAGATCATCTATAGGTCAGCTTTAGTCTGTCTGTAGGAAACAGGAAATTATCCCAAATGATGCAAAACGTTTACATGTGGCGTATACATTTTTGAATCCTTTCTAGTGTAGTCAATAAAAGGTTTATCATTGTTGGCTTGGTAAACATCCATACTAATCTTGGCTGGATCCATGGAGCGGATTTATGAGCCTGTTTTCTAGAGTCCTTACAGACTGCGTTCTCAGGAATACCTTTTCAACTAACTATATTAAATCCAGGACGCAGGTGCCATGGAGCTGATTTAGTAAAGACGTTAAGAATCTTCACACAAATGATATTGGTTTTGTTAAATACAATGCCAATCATGCAGATAAATAACAGGGATTTGCCTTTCATATAACTGGATAAATGAAGTCAATCTTTACTCAGTGAAGATGAAGATTCTCCACTCCCTTAGCAAATCAACTTCACTGTGTGCAGAAACTAGATCAGAATTAGCAGATTTACATATGCTTTTCAAGACTACCAGAACACAACCATTCATCCGGTGCAGTAGCAGGCGCTGTTATAAACTGTAAAAAATAAGTCAAGGCAACTGGACTTGCTGTATTTTTCTTGAAGACGTTTCACTGGTCATCCCACCAGCTTTCTCAATTCTGAATTGAGAAAGCTGGTGGGATGACCAGTGCAACGTCTGTAAAAAAAAATACTGCAGGTCTAGTTGCCTTGACTTATTTTTTACAGATATACCATGACCTGGATGAATGAGAACCTTCACAGACATGCTGTTGTAAACTGTACAATCCCAGCTCTAGAATCCAGAGAAAATTAGCATTTATTATGTTTGTTATAGGAGCCAGTAAAGCATTGCAACTATGAAACGTGTGGGTGCAATGCTCTGACTACAGCAGACCCTCTCCACCCAGTAATATGGACGGGAGGAAGTGTTAAAGGACTACAAGTGCGGTGGCATCACAAAGTCTCTCTGTGGTGGTGGCTGATTGGACATGAGTTTCCCCATTCACAGATCCTGTCAAAGGCTCCGTCCACACAGCCGTGCCTAATTCAAATCTATAAAACAAGCCTACGGGGAGAAGAGTTCTGCAACTGGGGTAAGTGGTGGGCAGGACGGGGGTGCCATCTGACCATGTTTCATGGTCAGAAAGGTAAACGTCTTCAGACCTAGCTACCAGAACTCATCTATGCCGCTCCAATGTGCACTGCTGTATATGCACAGATGGACAGGTCCAACTCTTTGGCTTGGAGGACTCTGGGATATACTATTCATTAAACACGTTAATGGTAAAGGGCAAATCTTTAATTCATAGAAACCCTTTAATAGTAAACTCGCCTTAAAAAAATTGAACACAAACCAGCATTATGTAGTTGCAGGGATATCTACCATTGATTTTGGTACACTCAGAGGCGCAACTAGTGACCTCAGGGCCCCGGTGCAAGAATCCCTGGCCCTGTTCATGAGTAGTCTTTATGTAATGACTAGCTAAACAATCTAGCCAACAGCAACCACTTCAGCTGACAGAAACCTGCGATGCAACAAGCACGCACAAGTTCACATGCTGATAAGTTCACCGATTCACTGCAATAAAAAAAATTGCAATCACCCAGTATAATAAAGAAAACATTATAAAGTAGGAAATTAGGGAAATAAGCAGACACAGTAAGTACAGAGGGAAAAAAAAAATGATTACACACCTTTGCTCACGCAAAGTGGCTTGAATTTCACATACTCGAACTAAAGACCTTAAATTTTTCAACTCTGTACAAATTTCAGACATGTGAATGCTCCCCATGTTGTGGGCTTCTTCACGTAACCTTGATGCCTGAAACAAGCAAGACAAAACAAAAAACAAAAACATTTACTTGCCAATGAAAATGATAAAAATAAAAATGTCTATCCTGGATTACTAGAAAAGAGGAAACAAAGTGTAATAGATTAACCTCCACTGTATAAGCGGCAACAAATGTCTCTTTACTCTTCCAATGCCAAAGAGCCCTATTTACCACTGACATACACATCTGAAACACTGGTGGGCAGCCAGGTAAATATATTAAATGTACATGCAGAGGCAAAGCAGACACCAGGCCCTTTGTTCAAATGCAAAGAGGAACAATATGGAAATGTAATGTGTAAAAGAAAATCTGCCCTGGCGCTCATCCTAACCAACCTCCCACATGCGGAAAAGGAAAGGGCACTAGCTGGAGGCAAGCAATATCTCAGTTGTGATCATTTCTCTTCATCTGTATCTGACCTTTCATCGAAATGAACCCCACCCACATTGTAAAAGAAAGTCTTGCACAAGATAAAATATTTTCTACAAATGCCAACATGGACTATAAACTGAAAAGCAAGCCAAAACACACAATAGTGAGCATTACCTGCTTTTCGGCGTGCTCAGCAGGCCAGCCTTGCACATGCTTTATAAGGTTTTCATTGAAGTAGGCAGCTAGAGTTGGCGTCAGTGAGGATGAAGATGATCGTGAAGAGGAGTTCTGTGGTACAGACGACGTGCTTGATGCACAAGTGCTGGAGGTATGATTGGGACCAGGAGATGGGCTTCTCTGACTACTAAAGGGAGACCAAAGAGAAACATTGATAACACGGCCCTCAGACTTCACTGCTGCATTTCTCATTACCAAGGCATGGGGGTGAAAAGGATATTTAAAAAAAAAATTACAAAATCTGTCACAAAAAGGTAACACTGTGCTCCCATGCTTTGGAAAACAACAACTACATTTTGATCAAAATAAATCCATTTGCCATAAGCTGAACAAACCAAATTAGAACTACAAACTTCCCCTGAAAACCCCCCCCAAAAAACAACTTTCTTTAGAGCAAAAGGATTGGATATGAACAATGCTATTATTACCTGTCCCAATAGTCTGGAATTATCACCAATACTTTTGCAGTACCCAAATGTTACACTAGATGTCACTGATGTACACTTTAAGAGCTCCTCTATAAATTCCTAGCCATTGAAGATTCCTCACACTTCACCCTTCATTTCCATGGAACACTCCACCCTCCAAAGTGTGTTTGCCTAAAAGCACAAAGCCCCTTCCTGGAGCTCATAGAAGTAGACACAGTCGGCTGGTTAGAAAATGTACATTTCTCCGGCCAGCCCTCTACTCTAAGTTATGAGAGACAGTCACAAAACAATTAATATGGTTACACACATAAATGGCACCAGGAGAGCTGAAACAATAGTTCAGTCATTTGACCAGTACTAAATGTATGCGCGTATTTATACCACGACATGGCTGAATCCACCAAGCCAAGCCCCTTCTCAGACATATTTCACCCCAATTGGCAATACTTTCCCTCCATAACATTAGGGAGGAGCGGCAGACTGCTGACTGCACAGATATAAGTAGTAAAGACGACGACCAACAAAAACACTACAAATCGTACTTGCCTTTGACGCTGAAGGTTTCGGGGGGAGGCGGGTTCGTGTCCTTGGGATTTCTCTGCAGTCGCTGACTGCTGTGATACTGTCTGTGTTGATGACCCTTGTTTAGCACCAACTGCAGAACTGGCCTACAATAAAATACAGATTTATTACCAACATTGAATGATCAGAGCATTTCCGAACACCGTAGGAGTGAAAAGTCAGAGAGACTTATACCTTTGACTGTGAAGATACAGGCGTGGTGTTTAGCAAAGGTTTATGGGGAACAGTATTAGTCTGCGGTGTGCTGATTCGGGGGGACACATATGACCTTGGCGATGAGGCATCAGACGTCAAAGACATAGGTGACTGATTCGATTGTGTCGCTGAAACAAGAAACATCTTGTGAAAAAGAAAATCTTTTGTGCTTATGAAGGCAAATGCAAGCTAAAAAGTCCTTTCGTGCACTGCAAAACAGAAACATTGACCACTATATATCTTCGGCCATATTTTCAGTTCGCTGCTCACAAGCAAACATGATTTAAAGAGCAGCTGGGGTCCTGAAGGTGACTTTCCCCTCACTTTCTGATCTGGGAGCAATCTTTACAAAACAGGAAGGGAAAAACTCACTGGAAAACAGACACAAATGACAGAGGTTCTAGCGTTCCCTTACCTAAATGCCTAAAAAAAGTATTTTTACTTCTGTGTAAGTTCTAATCCTTCCCCTCTCTATCCCAAATTTTAAAGAAACATCTTGGGTAAGATATATTTTAAAGTTTCTGTGCATGAAGTTCATCTTGAACGCCCCCTCTCCAGCACGGACCCTCGCAGCTGAAAATGCTGCATGAGTTACTTTGCCGAGTTTGTCCTTTGTCCAGCACCCATTGAAATCAACGGGTGACGCGTGGCAAATACCACATTGTAGTGTGAATGGGGACTTGAGCTTCAAGTGGGTTTAGTCGAAGACTAAACAGGGGCTAGGAACTCCCCTCCTCCCATCTGACAGCAGTGCACCACTCAAGGTTGAGAATTGAAGGAGTTAAACCTCAAAAATACATTCAAGTCCCTTCACTATTAACAAAAATGTATCTTGTTTGTGGATCACTCGGCTGTAGATCCTCCAATCATCTGTGAATGGGTGATGGCACTGTCCTTCCTTCTGGAGGGGGGCTACTTTTGTTCCCCATGGTCCCTGTGTGTGTTGCAAAGTGGTCACCGCTCCAAGCTCACTCCGTGATGGACTACAATCCCAATACAAATTAATGAACTAAACCTGAGATTGTAGTCCATCACAGGAGTGAGCTTGGAGCGGTGACTACTTTACAACAAACACAGGGACCATGACGAACAAAAGTAGCAACCCTCCAGAAGGAAGGACAGTGCCATCACCCATTCACAGATGATTGGAGGATCTACAGCCGAGTGATACACAAATAAGATACATTTTTGTTAATAGTGAAGGGACTTGAATGTATTTTTGAGGTTTAACTCCTGAGTTTAGTGTCACTTTAATAGCAGCTACAACTACTGTGCGCAGGTCGAGGTGCTCAACCTTACAAAGAAATGTGACATTTACGTAATATTGGAATGAAGCACTTTGGTTCGCTTTAACTGTGATGGCTAAAGGAGGTGCCAAAATATTAGGCAAGAACTGCATTCTATGGGATTACTGGACACAAGTCAGCTGTGTATTGGAAAAATATTGCTCTGCACTATACCACCTTCATTTCTAATATCTGGTTTTAATAAGCCTCCATACACCCATAGGTGTTTGGAATTCAGCACATTTTTGTGCACGCGTTTAAACACAGAGAAGGGAATTGATCAAAACTGGAGCAGACAAAATCTGGAGCAGCAGTGCATGGTAATCAGCCTTCTCTCTTTCAATTTCACACCTTAACTAAACAAACTGAAGACAGAAGCTGATTGGCTGCCATGCACAGCTGCTCCAGATTTTGATCAAATCCCCTCATAATTTTTAACAGATGCTCAATTGCAACTACACTAGTCTGTTAAGGACAAAACACAGGGAAATCTTCCAAAAAATTGTGCGTGTACTTTTCCCCCACAATGCACGTTTTTGCGCATGTGTACGAGCCCATAGGAATGCATTTGTGTTTTGCGCATTTACGCTTAGGTGTGAACACGGACTAACGCCATACAGGTACATATTTTCTATGATAATGAAAGGCTATTTACATGAAACTGCAACCGATACAAATGTCTATTAAGAGTTGATTTGCTAATATCACATTGCAGTGGCAGGCAGGGATGGCTCACCTTGTGCCGATAGCTGTGCAACCTGGGAGATTAGAGATGTGATGTTGAAAGAGGGCCCAGCGGTGATGATCTTGTGAAGTATTGACTGTAAAGAGGCTTGTGTCACAGCAGCTGTAAGGACTGAAACACACAGACACAGTTGTTAAAGGTTTAGACCAAGAAAAGTCCTACGCAGGATCTTGCTGGTAGAAGCAGGCAGAGAGATCCTGCTTAAAATGCTGCCCATGAGAACATTTGTGTAACATTTACATGCATACAGCATGAATGCAGCCTACTGGCCACCCCCAGCTAACACGTCAATAACAATGTGTAGCCAGTGGCTCCCACTTGTGTGACTCGTTCAGGGCCAACATGTAAATCAATAACAAAGTCATTCATGTGGTGGAAGTTGGTTACACATCGTTGACAGGCAATGGCCAATAGGCTGCATCAAAACTGGACGCATGTAGACATTACACAAACCTTCACATCCATACAACACAAATAACGCTGAAATTTACTGCCACAAAAGCAGCTTTTTTAAAATGTATTTTTGGCCAGATTCAGATTATGGAGCCATGCACTACTGTGTGTAATGGGCCAATGCATATCACAAAGCTGCATTCAAATTCATTTAAAAATATATACGCATTACAAATCTGAGCACAGCGTATTTTGCATCGTGTGAATGAGACCAAACGTATTCAATAAACAGCCGAGGTTATAATAGTCCAAAGGCAACAATAACAAGTCACTTTAGCAAAACCAGATCAGCATTGTGGAATGTCCCGCACTTTTATTGAATAAGCTGGATGGAGTTTTATCTTGTAGATCAGCGGACACACACACACACACCTTTAGCCACAGGGTGGGAGGATAAGATGACTTGCAGATCTCTAAAGGCAAAGGCACAATCTATTTTGAGGGAGTACATATGTGGATATATGAACTATTATTGCACGGTTTAAGGCAGGGGTAGCCACACTCCAGCTGTGGTGGAACTACAAATCCCATGAGGCATTGCAAGATTCTCAAAGCCACAGACATGACTCCCGGAGAGAGATGCATCATGGGATTTGTTTCACCACAGCTGGAGGGCCGGAGCTTGGCTACCCCTGCCCTAATTGGAAGCCCTGGATGCTGCCCCCTGCACCCAAGTGTCTAAGATGCATGCTGTCCAAGCGTCTGCAAAGGTTAACAAAGATGACATTACAATGGAAAGCAGGGACAGACCCTCAAGCAGAGAAAGGCTTGTCTGAGAATTTGGCACATCTTGTACCCAACCTTGCGAGTGGACTAGCAGCCAAGCTTGGGGATGTTGAAGAGGCTAAGAAAGTGAAGAAAACTTAGCAGTCTGTTCCTTAGGACTTCGCCCACTGAGAAAGTTGGGTGCTCTTGCCACCAGCACCATTCATGTTGATATTGGCTAAGAGAGGGACCAAAAAAGATGTTGACCCTGGAAAGACATGCAGAGTAATGTAACACTATAGATAACGTGCCCTACGCACATGTATTGACATGAGTGACACATAGAAGAGGGTCTTGTAGCAAATTGTCACTTCTCCACATGTTCTATGTGTAATCAGCTGCAACAGCGGTTAGACCTCAGAAGGATATTGACCAGTATGGAAACAGCCCCGATTTGGTGAAGGATAGGGCCTGCCAGTGAGAACAGAAATAGCTTAAATTAGATTATCCGTTGGGTCTTTAAAGACAGGCCCATCCTCTACCTGAATAGTAGGTGCCTCGTTGAGGCCGGACATGGTCAGATCTACAGTGGGACATAGACCATTTATGCACAAAATTCTCATCAAATGGATACAAGGCTAACAAACACTCCAGGAGGAGCAAATAACTTAAGCTGTTCCCAAAATCCATATAGGAATTGTTCAAAAAGCGGGATCATAGTGAAAGCCTTTGCAGCCTTAGGAGTTTTAAAACAACGGCACCATCAGTAGGCGCACTTAAAACAGCCTAGGAGCCATTAATAGAAAGCAAGCGGCGGGGGGTACCCTTAACACAGGGACTATCCCCTCCACATTTAGCATCATACATGTTGCAACCACAAGGCGATGAAGAAATGTAGAAGCTCAGGGTAAGAGGGAAGGCCTCAGATACTCAAACCTGAACAGATGGGAGCATAACAGGTCAGCTAGCAAGAAGTGACTCCAGAATGTAATCAAGCAGCAGGAATAGATCCAAGTTCTACGTGACTCTTACACGCAGGAACAGCAGCCGGGAGAGGATTTGTTATTGCTGCATGGTGGGAAAGAGGACGAAGAGTATGCAACACTCCACCCAGCAGATGACATCAGCACTCACCCCCACAGCGTTAACCCCTTCCATGGTAAAACCAGTTGGTAACAAGAAATAAAGGAGCCTAGGGACCTCTGTATATGAAGTAGCTCCCAGTGCTCAGCCTAGTCTTTAGAAACAGGAAGCAACTTCAGCAGCTCTGGACCTGGAAAGTGCTTGGCATCTTTTACCAGAATGGAGTGTGGAAAGCACCCCAAGTGGAAACCAGTGCCTGCAAGTCACCGAGAGGGTCCCCCCACAACAACCAGTCCAGCAGGGTCTGCATGCAGTGCTTCAAAAACCAGGCTCAGGATGATTGCACCAGATAGCTGCATTCGAAGAGACAAAACTGCAGCAGCAATGTACAGAAGTCTTGAAAAAATGGGAGTACAAAGTGCTAGCACAAAATGAGATTAGTTTTTACAACAGAAAGGACATTCTCCTGGCACAGCAGCAAAAAAACTGAAGCATGTCAGTAGTAGGAAGGGATTATGCTGATTTGGCCTACAGTTGTTTGCCAGCACTCAATCCTCCTGTAGGTAGCAGTATAACCCAAAAGGTTAAAGACTTCCTGTGTCCCTCCATGAACGAGAAAAAAAAAGGAAGCTGTAAACCATCTTACAGAAACATCCTCCTTGCAAGTGGATTTTATAACAACCTCTTTTTTTAGCACTAAATTGTCATTATAGCTTTCAAATGCATGAGCTCACACAATCAGTCCCAACAAGCATCAACTTCCTGAATGCTGTCAGCTTTGATATTAACAAGGAGGAAAGACCGCTTCAAATGTCTGTGCTCATCAGAAAATGGATTTTGGATTCCCTGCTGCTTCAAGCTCGCAGTGGATCATCATGACGCACAAGCAGAAGCATTATTAACTGTATATAATCCTCAAAACGTTATTACTGGCCTTTACAAACGTTATAAATGTTCATTATCCAGTGTTATGCACACATTCACAGACCAATCACATTTTAGAAACATTTCACAAGCATAGCCCAAGTAACTCACTGGCTGTATATACTGAAGATATGCAAAGTGTTGCTAAGCATCACACAATCCATCCACTAGATGGCAGCAAGGTCGCAGTCTTCACAGATGCATATACATTTATGTGTGCCCTCGTTTAAAGGAGAAATGGAGCAAAATGCCCTAGGCTTCATTAAAACCAAAACATGACAACAAAACTGTCTTAGATGTTCACATTTCTCTATAAACAATACAACGCAATCCAGGGGCAAGATTCTCCAGCTTTAAAGAAAAGAACACAATGTATTATTGCTGTACATGCCTTTATGTGCTGGTATGAAAGTTTGTCACAGATCAGAATACGAACGTGCAAAATAATTATTTTGATGAAATCATTTGATCTGATAATTGCACTCCACCCAATGGATGCTTGAATTGTTTCAATGAAAAAGAATGATTGGCCCTGGAAAATAATTAAATCTGACCAAACTTGCCCAAAATAAATTCAGCTTAAAAGACTCAACACGTTTGTGACTACATGTAGAGGAAATGTCAATCTCCAAGCAGTGGTATATACATTTATCAATTGGTAATACTTTTTTTTAGAATTCTTGCCCCCCCCCCCTCCTTCTGTACCTGGTCATACTGCATCTACTAAAAGTTTGTACAGATCTTGAATACAAATTATAAGCATTAGATATGGCATCGCCAGTGTGCCAGGCATCACCTCTGGTAAGTGGCCATTCACCCAGACAGCAATGTGGACACCCAAAAAAGGACCCTAACTCCCTGCATGAGAATACTCGGGACCTGAAGCATCAAATGATCACAAAATTGGGCGAGTACGTCAATCTTCAGGATCTTTATTTTAAACAAACTCTGCAATAAGCAGGAGGAGTGTTCAACCACAATTTCCATCTTTCTCATTTATTGCACCAACACATATTATATACTGTTTTGTAAAGGATAAAAAGGGCATTAATTTGGTGTGACATATGTATAAAAAAAGGTCTCAAATAGTGCACGAGGGAAGCTTAAAGTGTTATTAAACCCGTAGGGGTTTTTGCATAGATCTACTGCTAGAAAGAAGTAGATATATGCCAAACGATAAAAAAACTTTGAAAGGGTTAATACTTACCTGTGTCCCCGCCGCGCACTCCCGTCCAAACATCTGAAAATGTCTTGGGTGGGCGCATGCGCAGTTCAGATGTTTGGCCAGGAGACGAGGAGAGGCACAAGGTAAGTCTATGAAACGGCGTGCACTCGCACAGACTCCGTGGGACAGGAGAGAAGAGGACGACAGAGGAGTCAGCGCAGAATCGGAGACCCGCACCAGCGCTGGAGGAACAGCTAAAAACTACAGGAAAGAAGATTGGTTTAAGAAGCATCATTTAAGGGAAGTCCTGATGTTAGCACTGTGGTGGGGGGACCTTAGCCTTTAATGTCACTTGAAACCCTTAAGGACCCATGACAGATTCCCTCACGGGTCCTTATGGCACGGACAACCATGACGGAATAATCCAGTCATTGGTCCTTAAGGGGTTAAACTTAATTGTTAGTACAAACACCCTGTAATATGTGCACACTAGTCAAAGCTATAGGTATCACATCACCTTCACAGCAGGTATCATTACCTAAAGCCTGATAAAAACCTGGTACTACCAAGAAGGAACATGTAATCACTTTGCCCACCCACAATTTACTCTGCTTTGCAGCCAATGACAGGCCAGGACACTATTACCCTGTTTCCCCGAAAATAAGACTGTCTTATATTTTTTTTGGCTCAAAAAAAAACAACACACTAGGTCTTATTTTCGGGGTAGATGTTATTTTTTTAATGTACAACAATCCACACTCATTCATGTACAAAAATATGGTGATCAGGGCAATCAGGGGTGCCTACCTTTCCAAGAGCAATTTGCTAACCAATCGCTGGCCAGAATGAGCGAAGTGCGCTTTCACTGTCGATTCCTCACAGACGGAGTGCTTTTGGTATCACTCCGCCTGTGACAGGAGCCGGCGCTATAGAGGAGGCATCGGCTTATGCGGCTCTGCTCCCTAGGGTGCCGCCTCTCTTCCTCCGGCGCTGGCTTCATTCCCCCTTATGCCACCACCGGCCCTGGGAATGGTCACAACTAGGTCTTATTTTCAGGGTAGGCCTTATATTTTAGCAATTCCCAAAAATAGTACTAGGTCTTATTTTCGGGGGAAACAGGGTAAAATCTTTCAGAAAGTCGATACTAGTGCAAGAACTTCAGATGGGACTGACAGCGATCAGGATGATGCTGAAAAGCAGATTACAGAAAACTCCGGCTATTGTACAAGGGGGTTGTCAGTGCCGGAAAATGCAGGTTCACTTTATAATCACTACTGTATACAAGTCACCATAAAGTGCCAGAAAGTTTCTAAAGAAACATGAATTATGCCCAACACTCAGAGTGGCCTCAAATACCCAACTTTCCATCGTATGTGAAGTATAAGCGCACATCAAACCTACCCCACAGTGCAATGCCAGTTGCCTAAGTGATACTAGGCCAGAGTACTACCATTGGAGGGGGGGCGCCCAAACATATAGAAATATGTAGGAAAATGAAAACCTAGTAAGAAGAGGGGTGGCAGGCCAATGACCTCTGAACTGTACAGCCGGCAGAGATGAAGCCAAGAGGTCAGAGAATCCTAGGGACTGCTGCTATGCTTTAACAGCAAGCTAGGAAACCCTCTGCAAAAGCAGGGCAGACACGCATGAACAAATTTTAACTTCCAATTTGTTTGCACGAAAATAGTAAAAAAGAAAAAACCTTCAGCTATTCTTTAATACTATGCATTGGTTTGCAAGAAGGTGAGAAACTTTAACCACGTAAAGACAGAGGTGTTAAACACTCTTCCTGTCCAGACCATTTTTCAGTATTCGGTACCTTGACATTTATTCCGCCATGCAACGTCGTACCGAAATGAATTTTATATCTTTTTTTGGTGACGCAGAGCTTTCTTTTGGTGGAATCTAATCACCACTGGGATCTTTATTTGTTTTACTATATAAAGAAAAAATGGCAAATAAATAAAATAAACATTTTCCCTTTATTATGTTATGAAACATTACCCACATTTTTCATAAAATATAAAAGGAAGCACCTCTGTTAAATAGACACCAAACATGTCAAGCCTTAAATAGCACGTGTCTGTGAAATCACAAAAAATGACCATATCCAAAATTGGCATGTTTGCGAGTGAATGTGGGGGCGGGGGACTTTTTTGTGGGTTTTTTATGTGCTACTAATTTTTTTTATATTTACTTTATTGTTTTTACATAGTGGGCTAAAGAGGGGGCTAATATAAAATTAAAGTCACAGGTCCTCTTTATGGAGACATCAGGGGTCTTTAAAGGAGAACTATGGGGTCAGGGCTTTTAACCATAGTTCTCCTAAGGTCCACGGGAGAACACAAACTAGCATTCTCCCGTGACCCAAAGCTCCCTGCAGCCGGGACGGATCACGACATTGCCATGGAGATCCACCCCGCTGCGGGATTGACAGCTGGCTCTGCCTATCTAGAGGCAGAGCCAGCTGTGCCCGCCATCCATTCCGCCAGTCAGCGCTGGAGGATCGGAGCGGGGAGGAATCCCTGCAGGGAGCCGTGAGTGACAGTCACGGCTCTCTGCATGGATAGATTGAGACGTGAGCAAGCGACTGTATGTGTTCGCTCACTTCCCGATCTACTGAGCCGACCTGTGACAGTTTCATTGTCACAGGTCGGCTCAGATTATGAGGCCGAGTGAAAATCACTTGCCTCATAATTCTCCTTTAAGAGAGCCCCTAAGCTGATGAAGCAGCCATCTGCTATACCAGCTGCTCTCCAGCTTAAAACGCCCACCCGCATCTGGGAAGCTCCTGTTCGTTTATATACGGCCGCTGGACAGGAAGCAGTTAAGTCCCCGTTCACACCACGGCGATTTGGCCGCGCGGCTTCGCCAACATGAACGTTCCCATACATTGCTATGGGGACCGTTCATGCGACAGCGCGGGCCTGCTGAAGGCAAATTAAAAATTCCTAAAACAGCCCTTTTAAAATCAGCTCGGAAACTGCACTGATCCACACCCCCTCTGGTGTGAATGGGGCCTAAAGTAAACCTCTCGACAAGAAATGCCTGGGGAAAAAAAGGAGCAGTAATAGTAATAAAGTAGGGGGAGATAAAAACATTTAAATCAAATCTGGTGCAGTCGTCCATAGCAACCAATCAGCTTCTGTTTTTAGCTTGTTCAGATCTGCTTTAACAATCAAAGAGACACCCATTGCTTGCCATGATGAGCAAATTCTGTCTGCTCCAGTTTTGATAACTTTCACTCACTGATTCAACCTAAACAGCACAGAATTCTCTTATGCGTGCTGGGTGAAGTAGAAACCAGCATAGGACATCAAAAAGGGAAGAGAAGCCAGGGGTGTAATTCTCCTTTCACAAGCCAATGACCACATATGGAACAGCAACTCATTCTCAGAGGCCATGCAGTCAATTCGTGCTTCTCAAATGTATTCTTGATGAAGAGAATGCAATAATAGAGACCTGATCTGCTGAAAAAAAGTGCATTACACCTAATCCTCCCTGATGGGGGGAATACTGGATGAGTTACTATGGTTGCTGGTGTTGGTATTTCCAGTCACATTCCATGTGCTATGTGAATGAATGGTGTCCTGGGTAGATGGAGGGCACAGGGGGACGTCCTCACAAGCATGATGCAATCTAGTAAGTTGGTTAAAAAAATGTAGGGTGGTGGGTAGAGAATGTATTGTATTGTATGCAGCTATTTTGATACAATACAGTACTAGAACTGGCATAACTGGAGAATAACACGGTGGAACTGGTAAACACGATGCTCGTGTGATATCTGCTTAGGCCTAGGTGAAATAGGATGTGAGGTTGTCCTATTGGCAGAGGTCAGAAAGTAGGGGAAGGGGGTAAATTGTTTTTCTATGGGTTACAGGCAAAGAGCTGAAGGGAGATGGACTTAGCAGCAGCCATATACATTGCATTAAATACACAGATTTTGGGGTTTTGGGGGTATTTGTGGTACAGTGCTATATCTTCCAGAATACAAGACTGCATCTGAATATAAGGACTCAACAGATGCAATACCACTGCAGCTTTTGAACTGCTGCCAAACTCTACTGTACTTCAAAATCCATTTGGCATTAGCTCATCAGAGCGATGCATTGCGGTACCTTGAAAATATTCTGCATGCTGCAGTTTCTCATGCACTGGCCTGTATCACATTCACATTAAAACAACAGAGACGTAAAAAATGCATCAGAAAGCACAGAAACACGTTACATCAGGCGTTCAAATTCTATCCGATACGAAGGAACTTTAACTGTAACCTGAAAAATACAGCGGTACCTCGGTTCACAAACGCTCCTGTTCGCGAACATGAAGTTCGGCAAAATTTTGCTTCCATTCACGAACTCCGCATCGGGTGACGAACACAACCGCAGCCCGCTCCGAGACATGGTCAAGGCTTCCTCTAGTCGAAATCGCGGTCTGATCACAGTTTGATTAGTTTTGCAACCAATTTGGTTCGCAACCAGAATTGTGGAACAAATTAAATTCGTGAACCGAGGTACCACTGTACACAGCACCTGAGATAAGGTTGTCTCCTAACATTCAGAAGAGTCCAGACTTCATGTAAACCTCACAGGGGTCCTGCAGAGCCTACACAGAAGACTCAACACACAACATCCCAGCATTAGAAAGGCGCTTTTAGGAATTAGCAGCATTAAGGATCACTTTTTAATTTTTCTTGTCACATATCTGTTGGCTGTGAAAGGGCCGTGTATGAAAGCTGATCATGTCTATACGCAACTCATCCGAATCACCCACACAGTTACCCTACCATCAAAGCCAAGCCAAGTGCAGTCCCTACCTTCATTAATTTTGGATATATCCACGTTAGAATTATTAATCTGCAGAGTGGCTTGCAAGGCAGGGAGCAGCTGTCGCAGGAGGGTGGGGTCCTGCAGTATTGGAGGAATTGGTGATTGTGGCACTGGTGACACAGGGACTGTAGAAGAGGAAGAAGGAGGAGCAGCAGAAAGGTTTAGTCCAGAAGCAGATGATGTGGAAGGGGTGGTACAGGATGGTTTTTCAGATACAGAGTCTGTAAGTAAAGAACAGAAAAAAAAGTTACAATTAATTCATGTGTCACAACCTACTGTGTAGATAAAAAGGTAAAGTTTGCAGAAATTGTATTAAAACAAAAAATTCTAAAACGCATGCATGTTCCCTCCGTATTAAACCAGACCTAAAGTTTGACCTTATAACCCCTGTTCTCTTCTTGTTTCTGGCTTGGTAAAGTACATACTAAAATGGCTAAAATACTTAAAGCTGAATTCCAGGTACAACGTTTTAAGTACAGTTGTGAGAAAAAGAAAGTACACCCTCTTTGAATTCTATGATTTTAAGTAGGGATCGGCCGATACCAGGTACCGATATTCTGTTTACATCCATCTGCTGAAAGTGAACAGCAGGCAGTCGCCTGACATCGGTCGACCCAGGTTTTTTTTTTTTTGTATTCTGACAGTGGCCGCTGCCAGAATACAAAGAAGAAGAAAAAACCAGCAGAGAGCAAAGGAAGCATTTTTTTTTTCTTCATTGACCTACATAAAATTCAGGAAGTCATGTAAGGCATTTTGAGATTTATCTCAAGGGTCAGAAATGACATCGGTACATAAAACAAACAGTACAAACTGCTGTTTTTCACCTCTGTTTATCCGTAGCACACACCGACCTCCACACATTGCTTATAAATATATTTTTCTCAGAGATTGTACTTGTTGGCACATTTCCTATGTGACAATACTCAGGCCTGGCCACCACAGTGGGATACTAAGCAGGTATAAATGGCCATAGTCACTGACTTGTCAAACTTAAGCAAAACACTCCCACCTCCAGAGGCTTTCGCAGGGTTATAGCATGAACGGAAAATAATGGTACATTCAACTTAAAACCAATAGAAAGGCAAAGTAAAGGCCCTCAATACATTTCCAACTTACCTTTTCTGTCAGATTTCTGTGCTGGGATGGAAGATGTGGAGATAGGCAGTTTTGATAATGCTGCTGCTCCATTTGCATCGAATGACTTCTTTGGAGGAGGGTGCTCAGGCTGTACTGTAAAAGTACTAGAAGGAACGCTGCTTGCGGTAGCAGTCGGGTGAACCACAGGCTTAATAGAGTGCTGCACTGGGGCTGCACTGCTGTGAGTCTCTGTTCTGGGGAGTCTGTAGTCTCTGTCATTGTGCCGGCTTGTCTGAGACAAAATGTTCTGTGGAAGCATGCTGCTGGCGTCATTGGAATGTTTCTCATCCACTGATTGGAGATATTAACACAAACAAAAGAAAAAATATATTTTAGACTAACAGCAATAAAAAGTTGCTTGCTTGATATTTTAACCCTTGCCCACTGTACTTGAGTAAAAAAAAAAAAAAAAAAGTTTTGAGTTGGTGAGGAGTTATTTATAATAAACTGGAAGCCTAGCAATAATAACCACGGAAATGTGCAGCACGAAACGCGCATATTCGATACGCCTAGGTGTGAACCCAGCCTTAAAGTCACGGATCTTTCTCATTAAAAAGCAGGAAAACAGAAGCTTTGGGTTCTAACTGGATTAAGAGGAGTTAACAAAAAAAAATGTGACTTCTATGTGGTGTCTAAGCTTACACAAACAAAGAAGTTAACTAGTTTGGATAACCCGGTCAAGTTTTTGTTTGCTATCTATGTCCCGTTTGGGGAGATTTTTCTTCCTCCATGAAGACACAACAGGAGAGGAAATCTCACCAAAGTCTGTAAAACTTTGTCATCAGAACAGGTGTCGCCATGGTTAGATTTTCCCTCTATTCCCGCTCCAGGAATAAGTAAACATTTTACATTTTCCCTCACTTTACATCCAGGCGACAATGCCCTCCAGAACAAAAAGAGAAGGTGCATGCCCACAGTAAGCACAAAAAAACCAATAAAACTAGACAGCCCTTCCCACTCCCATTCGAATAATGAAAATATAGGGCCACAGATGCACTTCAAGGGATGACATTGTTCAACGATGAGAACATACATAACATCAGATGGAAAGATTAGCAAAAGTTTCATGTGTGTAACAATCGCATAATATTTTTTACATTTAAACGGAATGTACTACGCACAACACTCTAGCATTAAAAAACAGACAATCACTACAAAGTCACAGGAGCAATGATTTATAATAAATGGCACACATTTACACTAAAATCACAGATTGTTTCTGCCTTCCCGCACTACATAGAATAGGTAATGTGCCAACAGGAAATCTGTCCTGATGATGGACACATCTGCTTAACGGACAGCTTTACCTTTATTGACGTTGTTCTTTAATAAAACCCCTCACTCCCCTGAGTGTAGACCATCTAGGACAATACTTCTCCGGCAAGGCCCTGGACAGCTCCTCTTAATACTACATATGCTCAACGCTGGTGCAAGTCATATCTTATGGTTTAGCAAAACCTATGGCAGCCTCCAGCAGTCTATGAGATTGGGAAATGAAAGGGTCCCTGACACACATGCACATGGAGAGGAACCAGCGTGGAACTTGTCAGAGGAAATATTGCTGGATCAGGGAGGAAAGCAAGTATAATTCCAGGTGGGGTGCACTCAGGGGGGTGATTTGAGGACATATTCACTAAGGGTAAAATTGTCCTTTGAAGAGGGGGGGGAAAAAAACAATAGCACTGCATAGAAGGCAACACAAGGTGCCTATTCTTAACTTTACCTCGCTCCTCAGTGAACACCGTTATACCTGGCGCTCCCAGGAATGGAGCAGACATTTACAGCCTTCTTTGCCTGCCACAACACAGTATTCCCAGCTAGTGTGACCAATTCCCATGCAGGACTACGGTCAGGTGAAGGCCCGCATAGGTGTGCTGCAAGTTTTAAATTCTTGCAGAGTTATTCACAAAAGGGTGAAGAGTTTGGAGAAGGGAACATTCTAGGACAACATAGATGAACTGGAAAGTGAGCTGAATTGGAGAATTCTTCCAGATCAGCTATGTTGTCCTAGATTGTTCACTTCTCCTGACTTCTCCAAACTCTTCACCCTTTAGTGAATAACCCTGTAAGTGAAAACTAAAACATTTAAGGGGGAACTCCAGCAGAGGCAGCATATGAACAAACATGCAGTATTTTCCCCCCTACATGTTTAGTAAGAAAATAAAAAGTTGCACACAAGATACATCTAGCAAAAAGTTTTGAAAAACTAGCTGTGTAGAATGAGGAGAGCACATAGATCAGAGACATCTACATAACCACTACAAATCCATTCAGAAAGGAGACAGCTGGATAGACGTTAGATTTTGTAGGCGGAAAAAAAAATCCTCCAGAACTTAAGTATGAGAAGCTAGACCAAAATAGGAGAACACCGTTCTAATGTAAATGGATGGAGCTTGAATGTTTTCATTATTAAGTAGCACATCCAGTTACAGCATCTTTAATGGTAAGTGTCTGTCTGTCTATACAGACTGCATGTCCTTTGTCACTACATACATACAACAAAATCAATGTAGAGACTAGCAGAAGTAAAGATTCACCAATGGATAGAACTACAGGACAACAGGTCTCAAATGAAACGGATCACTCATAAAAGGCTGAAAAGATCACACACTTCTCAAGCACAAAGCTCAACTGCTACATAACAAAATAAATACAGATTGGGCTTCTATTCACCCGTAGCTGAGGCTTGCATTGCTTCTCTTCTGTAGTCTCGGTCTTTGGGGAAACTATTAACGGCCACTTTACTGGACTCCTTCTGGCGCTGCTCCCTGTGAAAAGAGTAAAAGTGTAAGCGCCAACATGTATTCAGCACAAGGAACAAAACATTAATTAGGGCAGTTAAAAGACAAAACAAAAATCCAGATGTACCTTCTCTGACAGGTTTTGGGGAGAGCTCAGAGCACATTAGGGGGGCTTTTATATGATCCGACATTACGGCAGTACAGCTGACATAACTTGCATACATAGCCATCAACTACAGATGCCTGCATCAATCTCACAGAGCGCCCCACAAATCCCCAACCAAGAGGCGCTTTATCATACAAATGCCTCCGTTTCTGAAGTCAGAACTCTGATATGTCCCGTTTCACTCCCTTACTATTGGTCAGGGAGGCCGTCTTAAAAAAATGGACTAGTAGTGAGGTGCAAGAATTGGGAGAGACAGACCACAGGTCAAACTTTAGAACAGGTTTTCGGATATTCAGTTTTATAAAGCGTTGTGCAAACGGTTGGCGCTATATAAATGTTGTATAATATTATTCAGGGCTCCTAGGTGGCTTATTCAGGAAAAACCAATCCATGTTCAAGCATTCCTTGGCACCTGCTAGACACCCAGGTGGCATCTGCCACTTTTTACTAGTTTTACTTATGTTGAAATTTGAGAAACCATTATTTAATTGCATGGATCTGTGTGTGTTGGGTGGGTTGTAGTAATACTCTAAAAGGAGACAATTTCTAATGTCTACTATAAAGTCCAAAACTAAGATTAAAGCAAAACATCAGGCAAACAGTTAAAAGATATTTTCTGTTAAACACATGTTCCACATTATATTGTCAGAGAGACACATGCAGCTCTCTCTTAACAGCTTTACAGCTCAGCTCTCCATGTCAACTCCTTGTCTTAAATATCTGTGACATCACCTTTAGCAACATCACCTTTAAGTCTTGCAGACATGCCAAGCCACTGGGAGGAGAGATCTGTAAGAGCTCATTGAGACGGGTGAATAAGCAGCTAAACTCCACATCTGGACGCAGCTGCACTCTGTGCTATGGACACATACAGTCTGTGTGTGGCCAGAGATGCTGGCCTTGGATGCAAACTGGGCCAATCAGAAGCCCAAACTGCATGTATCTGCTGATATGAATGGTTACATGTGAAGTATAAATCTGACCGTGGCTGTTTGCAAATTACGTGTGCAAGTTGTTAGTTTCCCCACCGACAAGAATTACCGATCCTCTACAGCTTTCCCAATCGTATGATGCCTACAGAATATTCTCCATGTTCTGGGATGTGACTCGTATCACTACAATTTCTATGATTTCGATAGGAATTATAAGTTTGCCAAGGTCGTAGGCAGTTCTTTGTTGCACTGTCACTGCCCACATATAAGAGCGCTTACTATTAGGGATGCACCGATACCGGTATTTCGGTATCGAGTACGAGAACAGATATTTTTTTTTACCCTGGTACTCGCCGATACCTATTACCGAGTACTGGAAGTCCCATTCAGGAAGCTAGGCAGCGTGTAATGACTCGCTTCCTGATTAGCAAGAAAGCCGTCCCCATGCTTCTCGTCACTAGGTGATGAGAGAGCATGGAGCCGGCTTCCCGGCCAATCAGGAAGCGTGTAATGACGCGCTGCCCAGCTTCCCGATACCGGAAGTATCGGGCTAGGCATCGGAGCATTTGGGTGAGTACGAGTACTCACCCCTACTTGCGTTGCAAATTGCATAGAAAGTATAGAGTGCTTACTATGTGATTTGCATGGGCTTGCAATCAAGGGCTGAGTGCAGGCATGAATGAGGAAGGGGTTGAATCGCTCTGTATCCACTCATTGAATACACAATAATGCATGGTCAGCATGCGCCTAAAATGACTAGAGAAGCAAGTTTTTTTCTCAACCAGTTTTCCTGTTCATAGAGTGCAGCAGTAACCAGTCCTATACACGGGAAGGCAGCTAAATAAAGACCTGTGGTAGACAGCTATCAGGACACTATTTTGAAAGACAGAGGCCTTTGTGGGAAAGATTAGAGACTCTAAAAGGTGGCAATTTTGCAATTGGAAAATATTGGAAAATAACAGTTCAACTTAAACTGCAAGCGCTGGAAGGCAAAAATGAATGCGACTTGCTATACAGGTGGCTGAGAGCAGTGATGGTTGCAGCACAATTGAAACGCATACAGCTAGGCAGCCGTCTACATTTTCCAATAAACGCAAGGACAAAAAAAAGCTATTTTCAATTGTGCAGTACCATTCTGAATAGACCTACTACTGTACATTGTAATCACTTTGTGTTAAAAAAAACATTGAGCAGTTGCAGAACAAGATGGACAATGACACAACAAAAGCAATAACAATGTGAATGTATAGATGATCGAATATTTACCTTTCCAGCCACTCTTTCGGTTTCTCCCACTGGGACACTTCTGTTCTGCAGTTATAATAGTATTTTTTGCCAGAGGAACTGATATGCTCAGACCAGTCATCTGCTGGATCATAAGCCTGCAAAGAATAATAAGAATAAAAAGAACAAGAATAATAAAAACCACGTTACCCAGGACTAGGCTTCATATATGTAAAGTATTGTTTTGCATTTTATTCTAAAGCTTTGTCAATAGAAGCCTGTGCAAACGGCAGGTGAAACTCACATTTGTGTAATAAGAGTTACTGTTCCTCAATGAACTTGTATACAAGGAGGCCGCCAGAGGAAACAAAAGGCCATTCCTCGACGCTTCTGTGCATTCCAAGTCAATTTCAACACACACTCTTTCAGCCCTAAGCATCAAGAGGCGCCCAGCAGTGCAGAAAGCACATCATTTATATAGCACATTTTTCAGACCCAAAATATTATTCTGCCTTTTCTGCAGTACTTTACAATACCCATTTTTTGCTTGGGGCCACTAAATCACAGAGCATAGGGTCACAACAGCAAGATATGTAAAAATGCACAAAACTGAGGGCCCGTTCACACCAGACGCTGAGCGGCGTGCAAGGCAGTTTTACTGCGTTACATCCCGCTGTGTTAATGAACAGTAAGGCATGCCTTACTTTTTATCAGCACACACCACGCATTCTTACCGTAACGAGGTGGCGTGAATGCCCACCATCAATAACAAGGCAAATTCCATTGTCTTGCATTGGGGCTGTGCTGGAAATAGTGGCCAACGCAGTTCCAAAGCAGGTGGTATAAATTGACCAGAACTCTGCAGCATTGGTTGTGCTGCAGACCTACATTTTCTTTAAGGAACCGCACGTACTTCGAATAGAGGTGAAAAAAAGTTGTGCACATCTTTTAGTCCATCTATAAGGTTCATTAAAACAAACCTGCGACAATGCAAATCCTTCAAACAGGAAAATCAGGCTCGGCATCACATGTGGGCATTACCCACAGTTGTCTGCATGCAAATACAGCATGTCTAGGAAAGCCAACTCCTCCAGACTTGCACCCACCCATCAAAGCTTTTTGTGATTGCAAAACTCCTCCCAACATATACTCCTCCCAATACTAAAGCCAGCATGGGACACTGCAGCTGTCACACACCGGCTTCATAGATCGAGAGCGAAACAATCATGCAACCGCTCATTGCTCAGCTCACTGTGTCCTTTCTGCAGAGAATACCCTCCACAGGGATTCCCCCCTCCCCTCTCTGTTCCTCCAGCAGTCATTTGAGGGACAGGCAGGTTACTCCTGTGACCCAAAAAGAGTAGCAAAAGCACAAAAAAAAAAAAAAACCAGAGGCAGGGTGCTGTAATGTTTTCAGGAAGCTATGTATTGCACCCTGCTGGCCCTTCCCACTAGCCATGATCTGCCTGCATTGCATGGAGAAGAGGCCCAGAGATATGCCTGCATTGCATGGAGAAGAGGCCCAGTGATCTGCCTGCATTGCACGGAGAAGAGGCCCAGTGATCTGCCTGCATTGCACGGAGAAGAGGCCCAGTGATCTGCCTGCATTGCACGGAGAAGAGGCCCAGTGATATGCCTGCATTGCACGGAGAAGAGGCCCAGTGATATGCCTGCATTGCATGGAGAAGAGGCCCAGTGATATGCCTGCATTGCATGGAGAAGAGGCCCAGTGATATGCCTGGAGAAGAGGCCCAGTGATATGCCTGCATTGCATGGAGAAGAGGCCCAGTGATATGCCTGCATTGCATGGAGAAGAGGCACAGTGATATGCCTAGGTTTAAAATAAAAAAAAAAATAGAAATACACTGAGTTAGCTACGTGGCACTACAATCAATGTGCGGGCTCCCGGAAGTAAGCTGGGTGTAATGAATAGCCAGATCCTCATCCCTCCTACTGGTACCAGGGGGTTGGGTCTAGGAACAGGAAGTGATGTCTGCAGCTTGCACCTACAGCATGGAATTGATGAAACAGTGAGCCTAAGCTAAGGTGCTGCTGCTGTGCCCCAGCTAGGAAGTTTAATTCGATTTGTCCTGATGATAAAGTGAGAGAAAATCCTAAACTTCTGAGTTGTCACCAAAACAGGAATAGAGGAGCAGTCTTCCAAAGGGGACAACTGTTCCAGTGACTTCGGTCCAAGAAAGCACTGCACTGTTAAAAAAAGACTTCCGCTCACTTCTTGTTGTACCTCCCCGGGACAGGAAGTGAGGGCCCTGCTACCCAACAGGACACAGCAAAGAAAAACGACGGGTTTAACCATTCTATATTTCATCTACAATTATAACAATGGCTATTCATACACTTGAAGGTTGGCTACATCATGTTTTAATTTTAAGGCGGACATTTTCTGCTCATCATTTACAATTTACACTGTTCACAGAAGATTTCACTTACAGAATCAGATGTCTTGCTTGGAGTAGAAGAATGTGAATTTGAGCTATGAAGAGCACTGTGGTTATGGGAATTTTCTTGTGGAGAAAAACTGGTCCCTGGAACATAAAATAAAATATTTAGCATAAGAACACATCAAACTAAAACAAAGTGCACATAAAAGTCACTGAACAGCGCAACTAACAGGACAATGTCAGAGCTACAGCCCAGTTCACTCAAGGCCAAAGAAAGCCTACACGTAAGATAATCCGATATAACCTAGGAATCCAAGTCAGAGTCAGGCTCATTCTGAAATATAAAAGAACAATGGGGGACGTGGAGTTTAAATCATTATTTTTTAATTTAAGTTGTAGATTTGTCCAATCCAAACTGCAGTAGTTGTACCATGAAGATAAAAGTTCCACATTGCACTGAATACTTCTGCTGCTTTTATCCTCGCTGTGCTTCAATTCCCTTCCAGTGTCATAGTTTTTACGCATGCGAGTTAAGGGGAACCCCGCACAATCTGTATGTCTGCTGCCTTCATTCTCAGTGCTTGTAGGCACAAAAACCTTCCATACGATGGAATGTCTCAAAGAACAGAAAGATCAGCCCACAGGATAGGTGTTTAACATAGTAAAATATTAAAGCTCAACTCCAAGATGAACAAATAACATCTAAATGTCTATAAGGTGTTGTCTAGAAAGCATGAGTACTATTACTTGAATCTTCCCTCTATGCAGGAGCTTCCTGTAATAAAGACCAGTCACTGCTGCCCTCTCACCTGGTACCGGGTGACTGGTCTGGACTCCACCCCCTCCTGTAGTTTTCTGCTGGCAGCCTGTAAGAGGACCTGCCAGGTCCCACTTACAGCTCTGCATAGGCAATGTACAGCACAGTGATGTAGTTACCACCACTTTAACAAGGTAATAACTGGGTAATAAGTGTATTTTATCCCTTGTGGTTACTGAGTAGCAAATTTAAATTAAAGTTCTCACACCTGGAGTTGCGCTTAAGGCCTCATTCACACTGCAGCGCGAATGTGCGTATTGTACCATATGCAAATAAATGGCCCCATACACATAGCAGCGTTTGGAGCCGTATATTTGTGTAGCGTAAAAACGCGCAAAAACAGAATGGAAACCAGATGGGTCTGGGCAGCGTATTTACCCGCACATATGCGCGTACAGTTCATTAACATTTCTATTATGAATGATGCATTCTGGGATTGTATATAGTGCACGCACATACGTGCATATACGCAATATACAATTTTTCTCTTGCGTTGTGTGTGAATGAGGCCTTGATAAGGGGCGTATTGTCTTGAAGTGCATCTACAACCAGATGGTTGGATGGTATGGAATGGTAAGAAGGCTTCTTATTTTGCTGTCTGACCTATGGAGGAGATGCTTCTTGTCCCAGATACACAACAAAAATGAGGGAAATTCATCTTTTAGGGCCTGTCCTTGTGGGCTTTGTCCTTGTGCTGATGGAATTAGTCAGACGCTTTTGAGATCAATCAAGATTCATTGACATTTGACCCGCAGTTTACCACCTCCTGACCTGAGTTTGACCTACTTCCAATAGGTTTCGCAACCCCATAAACCCATATAGGAACGCTAAACCCATCCGACATGAACAAAAGCCGGTCAACAAGCCCTCAGCCCGTTGTCACACAGGAAAAAATGTCCCCACTGCAAGATTTCACCTCCTGGCAACAGTAAAAGTCTGAATTTCCAATCACTTCGGGTCTTGGTGACAAAGGGGTAAACATTTTGACTAGAAATACATTGAAGGGTTCATACTGATGCAGATTAGGAAAAAAGTCTGAAACTCTCTGCTCCACATGACAAATTTATTTGGTTTACAACATTTGTAGTCCAAAGTTCATAGTTGTGGCACAACACAGTCCAACATTCTCAGCGTTACAGAAAACGTAAAGCCACACTTCTCATCCCTCTAAACCCCCCCAAATTCCAGCAAGGCCAGTCCTATGACTCTGCATTTAACGCTGACACAACACAACTGTGCAGAGGCAGCGCTCCCTGTAGGGTCAGTGAACTGTACCGGCATCACAGGATCAGCTGCATGCTGCAACGGCACAAAATACACTTCAAACTGAAGCCCAACATACACTGTTATCGCTTATCTGAGTCTTCAAGTTCTTATCTATTAAAGGGACTTTTTTTTTAAAAGAGAACAGAAAGCAGGAAATATATAATGGTCATACAAGCCCCAGAGAATGTACTACTAAAATGCATGGAATCCACAGTATCTGCAAAAACCTGCCATGCAACCATGTTCAGACATGGGGCTATCCGACCCGAAACGCTAAACGCAGCATTGGCTGCCGCGCATGAAAATCCGATCCTGCTTTCATTTTTAAAAGCTGCACAACAGAAATGACAGCTGGATCCGAATTATCTGTTATTTGTGGGAAACACCGTCTTTAAACAGTTTCCATGGCCGAGCTGCTGCATCCAAGCCTTACATCACCAAGTGCAATGCAAAGCGTCGGATGCCGTGGTGTAAAGCACGCCGCCACTGGACTCTAGAGAAGGGGAGACATGTTCTCTGGAGTGACGAATCACGCTTCTCTGTCTGGCAATCCGATGGACGTGTCTGGGTTTGGCGGTTGCCAGGAGAACGGTACTTGCCTGACTGCATTGTGCCAAGTGTAAAGTTTTGATGGAGGGGGGATTATGGTGTGGGGTTGTTTTTCAGGAGTTGGGCTTGGCCCCTTCGTTCCACTTAAGGGAACTCTTAAGGCATCAGCATACCAAGACATTTTGGACAATTTCATGCTCCCAACTTTGTGGGAACAGTTTGGGGATGGCCCCTTCCTATTCCAACATGACTGCACACCAGTGCACAAAGCAAGGTCCATAAAGACATGGATGAGCGAGTTTGGGGTGGAGGAACTTGACTGGCCTGCACAGAGTCCTGACCTAAACCCGATAGAACACCTTTTGGGATGAATTAGAGCGGAGACTGCGAGCCCGGCCGTCTCGTCCCACATAAGTACCTGGCCTCACAACTGCGTTTCTGGAAGTATGGTCAAACATTCCCATAGACACACTCCTAAACCTGGTGGACGCCTTCCCGGAAGAGTTGAAGCTGTTCTGACTGCAAAGGGCGGGCCAACTCAATATTGAACCCTACGGACTAAGACTGGGATGCCAATAAAGTTCATGTGCGTGTAAAGGCCGGCGTCCCAATACTTTTGGCAATATAGTGTGTAAACACACACTCACTGGGGTCTATTCACAAAAGGGTGAAGAGTTTGGAGAAGGAAGGAAACAAACAATCTAGGAAAACATAGCTGAACTGGAAAGTGAGCTGAATTGGAGAATTTTTCCAAATCTGCTATTTTGTCCTAGATTGTTCACTTCTCCAAACTCTTCACCCTTTTGTGAATAGACCCCAGTGAGTGTGTGTTTACACACTATATTGCCAAAAGTATTGGGACGCCGGCCGACCTGACTCACTCAGCGGGGAGGGCTTGCGATGATCGCAAGTACGATCTGCCTGTCCAAGATGGGCAGGCCGTACGAAATTTTAATGACCTTACAACCAACGCACAACGAAAGTTTTATTTTGAGGGAGTTCTACTTTGAGGGAGCTGGAGGGGAGTCTAAGGTTAACTCTCATTAACCCTGTCTGTGGTGGCAGATCTCATCAGTTATAATCTAGATTTGAACACGATCTGTCCTAACAAAGGGTTAAAGTCTTTGCGGCATTGTGCGATAATGAGGAAGTTCAATCTGACTCAAACTGCTCAGAATAGCCTGGAATCTGCAACAAGCCCTTCATTAAAAACACATTTATAAAAAGGTATGAAATATATTTATAAAACACATTTTCCATTATGCTGTGTGAGTAGAAACACAGAACGGACAGAGGGGTTTTCTCAAATTTGACTGCAAAAAGTAGAAATACACTTTACAGACATCCAATTCCAGTTGGACTTATGCAATGATGTGAATATGTTCTGATAAATGAATATAACTTTACAGTCATACAAGTTCTATTTCCCACTGATTTAGATGTACTGAGAGTAAAGCTGGCCATACACTAATATTTTCTTCATTGTATTCTTACAGTGGCCCCCAGCCTCTGTCAGAATACCAGAACAGCTGATTGGCTGCCGGCTCCGCTCGTTCCAAGATTTTCCAACTGGCTCCTTTGATTAGCTGATCAAGGGACGGCAGCCGGAAGCGTGCCAAAAGCAGAAGCCACTGTGTGAATATCAGCTGGTACATCAAGGACTGGCCGCAAATTCAGTGTATGCCCACCTTTAGACTCCAAGTCAGGAACATTTGACAAATGCTGCCCTGTCAACTACCTGACCTCATACACTGCTCCAATTTTTATAGCACATAACAGCATTCAGCGGCACAGGCCTATATTTGTTTACACTCCAATAAAGACACTTATAAACGCACATAAAATGGAAGAGAAAGTGTGAAGTCATGCAAGTGACAGGAAGAAGGAAGTACTTCTAAACTGAAAGACAAATACAAAATCTGCCATAAGACAAATACATTAGACTCATCAAATTATTGTGTAAACCCAACTGTGATACATTTATCTTCAGGGGGACAATGGACTTGTCACATTGGTGGGCCTTTGGAGGAAGAATATCTTTTACATTAGTGTTTAGTAGAGGAACCCCTAGCCACCTCTGTAGGAACCTCAGGTTTCTACTAAGCAGTTCTGTGTGTCAATGTCGGAACCTCCTAGAATACCTGTATGAAAACTCCAAATTGAACCCTAACACACGTCAAGCATCCCTGTCAAAGACAAAGAACTTCGGGGCTTTAAATCATTGGATGGATCACTACTAGAAGTAAAGAATTTTAACTATAACATAGAAAACCACATTTACTGATTTACTAGCACACACTGCAGAGCCAGACAGGTGCCACACGTATTTCCTATCTCAACACACCATGTTGTCTCCACCATCTCAAACCAATTGATATACATTGTCAATATGCTGTGGTATGTGGCACCAACCCATCAGTAGCAGATCCTGTAAGTTGCTAGTTGGGCCCTCCATGGATCGGACTTGTTTTTCCAGCACATCCCACAGATGCTCAATTAGATTGAGATCTGG